CCATATTCCAATCGAGAAAGGGCAACGGGTCCATATGTGGGAAGTTGATTCCCATGCCCATCTACACCTTGGGCAAGCTCGATCTACTTCCATCTGTCTTGAGGTTAGCCATTCGGCTGAAGGTATCACATCCAATGTCTGTAGCCACAGCAAACTTGCAATTCTCTGTTCGGGCATCCTTTTCATGTGTTTCCAAGTACGTATCAGGTGGCTTTCCGTCATCAGGCCTGGATATCTGGCTTTCCATCTTTCCGCTGCTACTGTTACCGGTTTCCTTTGTGTTTGTTCCCTCTGTATGTTTACTCCTACTCGTGGTTTGTACAGAGCCAAAGGAGTGTATGTTTTCCTTTCTCCGCTTTCTCTCCATCCGTGTAGGAAGGGTTCTGTAACGTAGGTACTTGCTGCCCTTCCCAGAGTCCAATGTTCCTTACCTGTGTCGTCGTACACAAACCATACTCTTATTTCTATTCCTTCTTCCCATTCTTGTACGACTTGGACCTTTTTTTCCTCGACAAAACGCCCCCGTGTGGCATTGAGCAGAGACTGCTCATGTTCATAGGCTTGTGGACCTGGCCAAGGTCCCCCTTGTACGGATTAAGAGAGTCTTGCCGTTGACCTTTTTTTTTTTTTTTTTTGTTTGCCGTTGACCTTTTTTTTTTTTTTTTTTTGTTGGCCGTTGACCTTTGCTATCTACGGTCAGTATCGTCTAAGTCTTGTAAGTGCGACCACCTACCGTCTTCGCCCGAATAGAACGCCCGGTCATTATCGCCGCATCCGGACAGAAAGTTGTGCGAAATACAGCTATAATGACCGGGCGTTCTATTCGGGTGAAGACGGTAGCCCCCGGAGGGGAGGCAAAGCAACCGGCCCATCAAAGAGGCTCGGCTCGGTCCTGATGCTACAGGCTGGCCCATCGAAGAAGCTCGGTCCTGATGCTACCGGCTGACCCCTGGCCCGTGTAGCGCACCTGCAGTAGCAGGCATGGCACCTACTGAATGTGGCTGCCCCGGGGGGTACCCCGTAATACTATAATAATTATGGCAATTAAAAAAAAAAAGGCCTGGACAGCCGTCCTCTCCAGATTCTACAGGTAATCGATTTGGGGTCTCGCAGCACGGCACACGAAACGAAAACGAAACGAGTGCATCTTACCACCGAAGGTGGCAAAATACACTGGTTACTATTTATAGCAAAGGGATGAACCTGGCCATTTTCTGGGGGACGATACATTCGTTTCGTTTTTCGTTTCGTGTGCCGTGCGTCAACGCCCTTGGTTTGGCTTCTCCTTCTACCCCTCGTGCCAGCGGCCTGCCAAGGTCCTTCCGGGGAACGGCCGTCAAAACCCAAAAAAAAAAGAACGGGGAAACTACGCGGGAGTCACAAAAACGAGTTGTAAATGCTGTATGGGCCAAGATACAGTTTCCCAATGCAGTTCGAGCGATGCATACAACCCAGCTTGCTGGCCAGGTACGGTGCCCAAACGGTGCAAACTGTATCTTGGCCCACGGTGCAATTATAACTTAAAAAGGAAAGATATAGCACAGCAAAGATTAGCATGGCCTCTGGGGTCTGGTCCCACCTGCACCCGTTGAGTTTAGATTCCTCAACGGTGTGACACCCGAAAGCATTAAATAAATCTGAAAAATGCATTTCAGGCATTTTTCGTGAAAATCATAGATCATGCCGGCCGTAAGAAATGAAGTGGAAACATGGTGGTCGTGATGCGGGGTTCACCCTCGCTTCTAACGCAGGATGCTGAATCTTACCGGATTCAGCACCACGTGCAACGCGATGTTATTATATGGGTCTCGCTCCGGGAAAAAAAAACGGAAACATACACCGACAAAGTGACTGACACGCATGGCCGTTACGTTTTTTTTTTTTTTTCCCTCGCAAAGCGACTGACACACTCCCCGACAAACGGGGAGTGAAAAATTATGTACCTAAAATGCTAAATCATACATTCAGCACGTTGAGATATCTACCCTCGACCGTGGAGGGTAGCTTTCTCAACTCCGTGGCGGTTGCCCATGCGGCCTTTCGTCCAATGCGGGACTCGGTACGAAGTCGTTATACAAATTAAAAAAACATTGAAATCAGCCCAAGGAACATCCCCCTTCGCAAAAAATTCAGACCATCGGATCTCAGCCCTGTGCACGGCCACGTCCTGTCGAACGTTGTCACTCCTCGTCGAAAACCTGACGCTGAGTTAACTCAACAACGCAGGTGGGACCAGACCCCTGGGGCCTGGGCCGACTAGCACTCGTTTTAAACGTGAGACAGTGCTGCGTGACCCGCTTTTGGCATTAAAAAAATGGTTTCTGCATTTTTTTCAGATTAAAAAAACTCTCGTTCTTCTAGATAAAGAAAGCAAAATTCAGCTTAGGGTGCTCCCGTCAGCCAATGGGATGGGAGCCGTCGAATTCATCGCCTCTTTTTCTGGAGGCATGCTGGCTGCGTCCAGTACTTCGTACACACCACTTCGTTGTTCTCTTCTCAAGACGCGAAGTACTGTAGCAGGGATGCGTTTTCGCCCCCCCCCTCAGAAAGCTGTGAAAACGCATCGCTGCTACAGTGATTTTGAATTTAAAGAAAAAGAAGAAATCATGAAAGTGCGTAGGGTACACATGCAAATTTTTTCCCCTTTTTTCGAATCGCTGCAAAATTCGGAACTCCGCATGATTTCCCCTCCATCGATGGCCTGTAGTCATCTAAATCTGTCACACGTGATAGAAAACCAAACGGACACGGTTTAAAACGTCGCTAGTCGGCCCTGGCCCCTGCGCAAGAAGGACATGCACAAATCGAGCGGGCTGCCAGGCAGAGAAGAGGCTCCCCACGAATAGATTGGAGCTTTGTTCCATGTAAAAAAAAAAAAAAAAAAAAAAAAAAAAAAAGAGAAGAGAAGCAGGCAGCGGAGAAGAGAAGCAGGCGGCGGTCATGCAAAAGGGCGGGCCCGGGCCGAGGTCCCACTAGCAAAGAGGATAGGATCAAGCTGGATGAGTTTTATGCAGAGGTGCAGAAAAGCAGTTCAATCTCGATATCCTGCACCTCTCCACAATTACTTCCAGATTCAGGCATTCGATCCGATCCTCTTTGCTAGTGGGACTTGGGCCCCGGAGAGCAGGTTACGAGGTAGGTAGGGAAGCAAGGAGAACAAGTCATCTGCTGCCAACTTCCCACGAACAGAATGCACCTTGCCCCTGAAATTGTCAAGGGATAATGGCCATCGACGCACTACTTCTGATCAGTTTAATATCTGGAAAAAAAAAGAAAAAATGTAAAAAATGAGAATGAATCTTCCCCTTCAACACATGGGAAGATTCACCACCATCATTTTAAATTTGTCTTTTGGGCATTTGTTGAGCAGTGCAACGAGGCCCCAATCAAGCTGCCTTTGAGAATCAATCGTCCGCTAGAACATGCCATTGGAAAGATGCACCACCATCATTTTTGTCTTTTGTGCATTTGGTGAGCAGTGCGGCGAGGCCCAATGAAACTCTCCTTTCCTATCCGATAGGAGTGAAAAAAAAAAAAAAAAAAAAAAAAAAAAAAAAGGAGTGATAGGATTCATAGGAGTAATGTTTATGGTGGGATTGTCCTAAATCTCAAAGATGGTGGAAATGGTGGCTCTTCAATTGGAAAGAGATCACCGGCAGAAATAAGTTCTGTGACGAGAGATGGGTCCTATCAGGGGCGCTGCGGGAAGGATGCACAGGCAAAGTGGGCTGGGGCTACATGGCGCAAGTTACAAGAGCGGTAATGATGTGGCTTATTTGGAAGGACAGCAATGCGAAAGTATTTGATAGAAGCGAATGGGCAGATAAACAGGCCTTCGAATTATTCAAGCACCACTTAGCCAATGAGATCAGAGCAGACTGGCGGCGTACCAGGAAAGGGAGCGGGGGAGAGAAGGGAAAGAACTGGTTTTTGAAGACTTGGGCACATGGAACTTGCTTTGCTTCTGTATCCCCAAGGGGAGATCTGGTCCTATCAGAGTGATTGGGCACAAGAGGATAATTACACAGGTGGTACAGGGTTAGCATAGGGAAAGAGTCGTTTCTTTTACAAACCAGGACACTCGGTTTCAGTCGGCATTCGCAGTAGACTGCAACGGGTTAAGGGAGGGAAGGAGAGTGTCAGGGGGGGCTCTAAGGAACGCTGCTTTGCGCTCCTCTCGGTCGTGGTAGCCCAGGGACAGACCGATACTGTAGGTCTGCGGTACTAGCAGTACAGTGAAGTAGAGGATAGTTTGGAGTAGGGAATAGGAAGGTACTGCGAGTCACATAGGAAGTAGGATTTAGGATCAGGCTGAGACCCCTTTTGAGGAGTTATGTTGAGAAACGATACAGAATTAAGCGAAACGGGCTGAGGCTGCCAGGATAACTCCGGGTTGAATTGTGAGGGTCCCCGGCCTCGTTTTATATTGCTTTTGGAATGAAATTGAATGCTTTTGCCTTCAAAAAAAAAATAAAGAAGGCACGACGGTTGGACAACAGGCCCCACAAGCACAAGCAATAATCCAGAGACTGCAGGTTCAAAGAGTCAGGGAATGGGGCTCGCCGCACCACGTTCTAGCGGAAGATGCACTCTCCATTTTGCACATTTGGTCAGGACTGAGGTGAGGGCCAATGGCTTCGACGACTGTATGCCACAACCAGGGGGAAACACATACAGACAGTACCACTTCTAGCCAACGACACATGCATCTTGCATTCGGTCATTGCAATGAAAGCTCATCGAGCATAAGGGAAAGGAGTTCAGCGAAGACACTCCACAAGGCAAAGAGCGTAGTACCCCGAAAGAAAAAGAAGAAAAGAACTTAGGAATCGTCTAATGTCCGATGTGTGATGGCTGTCCAACGAGAGAACGAAGTGTGGGTAAGTGTGTGTACGTGTGTGTGTGTGTGTTGACATGTTTTCTTTTTTTATATATAACTAACCTAAATTCTTCTCTCAATATTACCTTTCACTATCTACCTACCACTACTCCTAAGCCTATACACTGTATACAGGGGACACCTGACCACTGCCAACATGCATCCCCTTAATTGTATTTGACATGTTCGCCATACAGCTCCACAAAAAAAGCATGATTGTGGCAGACTGTTTCCTCGCACTTTCACCGACACATGAGGTGTGTGTGTGTGTGTGTGTGTGTGTGTGTGTGTGTGTGTGACATCTGATTCATCTTAAGAGCAGGAGCTGGAGACGATGTAATTACAACCTGGAGAACAGAGAACATGTAGTGGAGGGCAGGAAAAGAATGCCCACAGAGGCAGAGGAGGGAGGAGGGAGGAGGGAGGAGGGAGGAGAGGATAGAATGGGATGCGGTTGAGTTGGAGACGATATCATCAGCAAAGTACTTGGGAGGACGGAGAAGGTGGAGGTGGAGGGAGGGGGAGGAAAGAATGGCAAAAAAAGGGGCAGAGGAGAAGGCGGGAGGAAACGAGCAGCAGCAGCAGCACGAGGTGTTGGTCAACGACCGTTTCTTTCGCTTAATTCGATCGACGGGTGCCCAACTGTCTTTGTCCTTGGCTGTGTCTCCGGGTAATTTTATTTTTCGTCTTTTGTTTCTTTGTGCTCTGCTCAGCACAACGGACAGGAAAATTATTTATCTACCTCCCTCGACTACCGACTACTCGACAATGTTAATCCATCTATACATTCCAATTCCTCCCCTCCACCTCCTCGACTCGGATTATTACTAGTGAAACCACCAGCACGGTGATCCTCTCCCAAGAACGTGGCCGTGCAGAAGGGGGCACCGCTTTCTGTGTACCGGTGTACCAGGCAGGCGGAGACAAGGGACAGTGTTCGGAGAGGCAAATCCCGGGTCTCGACAAAACAGGGCCCGCCGTACTGATGATTAGTTCATTACCTCCAATTGACCGATCAGCTTCGCACAATCTATTGCCAGCTAGCTTGCAATCCATCTCAATCTAGCCTACTAAACAATCCGATATCAACACCGACCTCAATCAGATATCATCCCCCCCAGACCCATACACTAACTTGACGTCAACATCTGACATCTGCTCAACATCAGCTCCACATCGGCCATCACCAACAGTCTCATCAACTTGAACTTAACATCTACTCGACATCTACTCAATGTCAACGCCAGATCGCAGATCACAAACGGACAGCACAACCTATGTGTCCAACTTCACTCAGTTCAATCAGACCTAACCGTTAATTAGTTAAACTCGACAGCAACTATTTATTTACCTCACATCTCCTCCTCTCTCTCTCTCTCTCTCTCTCTCTCTCTCTCTCCGCCCCCTTCTTTAACTCTGAATGCAACAAACACGCAAAGCACACAGCTTCGGTACCGAACGAGCCCAAAGGCATGGTGGTGCATATTCGACAGACATCTTTTGACTGGTAATGCAAATCTGCTGGCTGGGTATTTTTCTTGTGGTTATCCCCAAACCTCCTCACTCCAACCATGTCCCGACCAAGGGCAGAAAGAAGGAAGCGAGGAGCAGAGTCATAGTAAGAGATTGCATTCCATCGGACCTCAACTACGTCCACATTCAGTCGCGCCGTTCTCGTTAGCTTAGAGATAACATCGCGGCCGTTGCTTAAACATAAAAATTCATCTGATTCATCGAATCTGACGGACAAAAAACATCCGATCACCCCTCCTAACAAACGGATTGCGCAGACAACGACAACTACCCAGGCCAAAGTAGAAAGTTCTGGCACTTGTCATCTTTCTTCCCCTACTATACTAGACCCCAATTTCGACCCTACTCCCACTCAGGCTCTCAGGCTCTCAGGCTCTTTTGACTATGTGTTGGTCCCAGCTCCCACCTCCCAACTGCATCCTCGATGGCAGCAGATCTCCGCCAATCAGCGTGGACGATGAATGGCAGAGCGAATCCAAACCGCGCGTGTATGTGTCTGTGTGCTGGGGCTGGGGGGGGGACGGAGGGGGGGAGGGTCCGCAAGTGGGCGGATCATGCCCTGCCGGCGGGGCAGTAGGGGCACGATCGGCGCGCTGCAGGAGCGGCGGGCGCTGTGACGGGTGCTGCAGGCTTGACAGCGGAGGACTTCTTCTCATACGATGGACGCGTGGGGGCGGCGGCGTTCGTGGCGCGCAGGAACGGATAGGTGTCCGACGCATAAGCAGGGGTACGTGCGACGACGGGCGGCATCCAGGGCAGATGAGGCGATGAGTGCTGCCAGCTTGGCGGCGCTGCTGACTTGGTCTGCTCCGACACCTTCGGCGCAGCGGAGAGTGGTGCGGGAGGGGCAGCAGCCGCCACCTGCTTCGCGGGGGTAGGAGGAACATATGCAGGGCTCGCCGCAGCGGCAGGCGGAACATATGAAGGCTTGGCCATAGCGGGAGGCGGCGGAACGTATGCAGGCTTCGGCGCCGGCGCCGGCGCCGCGGCCGGTCTACGGGGGGGGCACGCACCGCCCAAGCAAGCGCTCGTGTGCGCACGTCGCACAAGCTTGTGACACGGGTACTCCGGCTTTCCTATCTTCCTGTTCACCACGTTGTGCGTCTCGCACATCCACTGCTGGAACTCGTACCCGTTCGATGTCCTCGGCGGGTGCTCCTCAAGCAGCTGCTTGAAATGGTCTGCGCAGCCTTCGCAGGGGTAGATGCGTGTCATTATGTTCAAAATATCGTTGACGTCCCGTCGTTGCTGCTCGGTAGGGCAGTCGGGGTACTGGTCGGCGAGGGCATGGAGGAACATCCACGTGCACCTCCCTAGCTCCTCGCCGGACGAGGGGTTCGGAGAGGGATCGGGATCGGTCGCGGTGACGGCGCTAGTGCTCCGCGCCACCGATTGCCCAGAGGCGCTGCCGAAGTAAATGGCGTCGGCCCCGAACTCCGAGACCAGCTTGAAGAAGCACACGTCCGCGGCGAGCTCCGCGCCGAGCTTGACCGCCTCCACCCCTCCCAAGCTCTGCAGCTCCAGGTACACCTTCCTCTGCTCCTCGACAGTCATCTTCGACCAGCCTGTCTGGATCCGGCAAGCGACATCGAATCCGGCAATCCCGAGGAGGCGGACAAGTTCGCCGACGAGAAGTTCCTCCGGCCGCGGGAATTCCACAGCGGGCGGCGCCGGCGGCAGCGAAGGCTTCTTCGTGTCGCACACATTGTCGGCGGCGGGAGGAACCGGGCAAACAGCGACACCAGTTGGGAGGCAGCAGTCTGAAACGGGTAGAGGAGGAGGAGGAGGAGAAGGAACGCAAACAGGCAAGATGGGCGACAAATCCACGCATCGATCGACGGCTGCAAATTGCGGTTGCTGCTTATAACCGGCGGTGCGCAGAGCGCGGGAGACGAAGGACAACAACAGTTCGTTGGTCAAGCAGGGCTCCTCGAGAGAGGACAGCAAATCGTAGAAATGATGGCTGAAAACACCAGCTACGCACCCGTCGAAGCAGCTTTCCAGCGCGGAATCGCCGTGTGCTGCGGCGAACCACGCCGACGGCCACTGGAACAGCACCTTGCGCATCGCCGCGTTATCGCAGGCGGCGGCCGAGGCCTCAGCTATTGCCGCCAATTTCCCCTGCTCGCGCGTCTTCCCGCCAAAACTCAACACCTTCGAATACCATGTCCCCAGGAAATACCCGCGCTTGTCCGCGGAGCTGCAAGCGTCGGCAACGCCGAGGCCTGTGTCGAAGACTTGGACCGTCGTTACTCCTTTAGGAATGCGCGCGAATTTAGACTTGAACTCGTCAGCGGTGATGCAGTTGGACACAGAGTCGCGGCCGAGGCCCGCGTCGGAGGGCAGCAGAACATCGTCCAGGCCCTCGCCGGCGCAACCCAGACCGGCGGGGAGCTGGGATCCGTGCCCGGAGAAATGGAAGAACAGAACGTCGCCCGGCGACGCGCCGCACACCAACCAATCGATGGCTTCCAGAATGTTCTTCTTCGTTGGAGGCACCACGCAGTTCTTGCCGTACGTATGGCAAGGCCGGTCTATCAACACACGCATGTCATCCTCCTTGAACCCGAACTTGGCCGATAAGACCGACTTCGCCTTCCGCACGTCATTCTCTGCACCCTGCACCTTAGGTAGATAAATGCTGTCTGCATAACTCACTCCCACGAGAACTGCCCTTCTCACCATTTTCGCCTCTCTCTCTCTCTCTCTCTCTCTCTCTCTCTCTCTCTCTCTCTCTCTCTCTCTCTCTCTCTCTCTCTCTCTCTCTCTCCCCCCGTGCCGCTCTTCACCTGCAAGAAGACAGACGAACCAACAACGAAACGCTTCAGATGGACTTAACACATCATAAACAAAAAAAAAGGAAGCTTCAGCAAGGAGAATCGTGTTATCGTGAATCCAGAATCTCGTGTCATCGTGAATCCAGAATCTAGTGTCAATATCTGATCCGTGGTGCATCGGGCCACAACAACATTAAACTATTTTTTTCGGGCCACGGAGGGGTCAAACGGGTAAGCTTGCTTGCTCAACCTTTCCAGCGTTGCCTGTGTTGCGCTGCGGCAGAGTGCTTCACGGGGAAATAACAAAAAAAAAAAAAAAAAAAAAAAAGAATCTCGTGTCAACATAAAGAAGGAAGCTTCAGGTATGACACGAGATTCTCCTGGCTGAAGCTTCCTTCTTTTTTGTTGACACTAGATTCTCTTGGCTGAAGCTTCCTTCTTATAATTGTTGGTATCAGAAATCCTATCAAGGTAAAAGTACTGTCATGTTTTGGGTCACAGCCAATTAATTTGTTCCTATGTCAATTGGCGTGTCAACTACCACCTTCACCGAATAAACGTTACTGAAGACAAAAAATTTTGAAGGAAAACAAAAAGGGCTAGAAAAGGGGGACACTACCGGTAAGGTTATCGCATCCATTAGGATTAGATCTGACGATCTGTTCATCAACAGTTAACATCTCCGTACCATTCAGTCACCAGACACGTGCAGAGCTTGTTTTTTTTTGGGGGGGGGGGGGGGGGGGGGGGGGGGGGGGGGGGGGGGGGGGGGGGGGGGGGGGGGGAGGGGAGGAGGGGAGGAGGGAAGGAGGGGATAGACGAAGGTGCTACTCAAAGAAGAAAAAGGCAATAATAGACAAAGGGGCTACTAAAAAAAAGACGATTAAAAAAAGATGCTATTGAAAAATGAAAGATACATCTTGTTTAGAGATGATTGATTAGGGCATGGCCCCTGCGCAAGGATGACACGGATAAATCGAGAAGTCGAAATGAAGGGAAAAAAAAAAAAAAAAAGGACAAGTATTGGACCCGTTTTCCAGCAGGTGGTGCTCCCCGACCAATATAGATTGGAATTTTAAAACGGGACCCTACCATGCGGGAATGCTCTTATCAACCCAGAATAGGGTCTCGACTGAAGTAAAAAAAAAAAACAAAACGACAAGTAGAAGAAAACGCTGGTAAGACAAGAAAAAAGACAACAGTAGAATGTTCTAGTAGGAAAAAAAAAAAAAAAAAAAGCGCTAGTAGAAAGAGATAAACGACAAAAATAGAAGGTGATTAAAAAACAGAAAGGAAACAAATAGGTGCTACTCGAGAGTGAAGAAAAGACAAGATAGATGAAATTAAAAACAAAAAGTGCTACTGAGAAAATTATATTAAAAAAAAAAACGAAGTGGTACTCAAAGACCGAAAAACAAAACGCAGAAGACTACCGTTCCCCCGAACATAACGCACCCTGAAAATAAACGTATACAAGGTATGTTTCCAGCCCGATACAGTGAAAATGAGGGTGGGAAATGCTCCTGCGTTTTACTACTACAAGTTCAGCAGCATTTCCCGCCAAAAGCAGTGTCCTTTCAGCCGCAGCATTTCCCGGCAAACAGTGTGCTTCCAGCCGAAGCATTTGCCGCCAAATACAGTGTCCTCCCAGCCGCTGATTTCCCGCCAAACACAGTCCCTCCAGCCGGGGCAAGGTCCCACTTGCACGGATTACGAGAATCTGGCCGTTGATCTTTGCTATCTACGGTCAATATCGTTTAATTCGTGTAAATGGGACCTAGCCCCCGAGATTTTTTCCCGCCCGCCAAATACAGTGTCCTCCCAGCCGATCATTTCCCGCCAAACACACTGTCCCTCCAGCCGGTCATTTTTTCCCGCCAAACACTGCCCTTCCACCTGGTTCTACCTTGTCCCCCAGAAGACAACGTACGGTCATTACAGTATCCGCACTGAAAATTGCACCAAATACGGCTAGAATTACCGTACGTTGTATTCGGGAGAAACAAGGTAGGTCTCCAGTTACCATCATCGCCCGCCAAAAACTTTCCCATGCCTTTCACATTTCATCCATTCGTTCATCCGAGTCAACTTCCATATCCACAAACCAATCCTTTTACGTTCCACGGTAAATTAAAAAAAAAAAAAAAAAAAAGTTCCACGGTAAAGAAATAAGAAAAATCCGTCTATCGCCATCCCCTCTTCCTCTACATCTCTCCCCAGCATGTCCCCAGTCATATCCAGTTCTTCCCTTATAAAGAAAACACCTGCCCTTTCCACCCCCCTCTCTCTCTCTCTCTCTCTCTCTCTCTCTCTCTCTCTCTCTCTCTGTGCGTGCATAGGGTTCCGCAACTTGCGGAGTTATTCGACGAAAGTTCGACTATTGCAACCCCGCGTTTTTCCGCTGTGTACTCTTTCTACCTGTTCTCCACCGAGCAGCTATCTAGAAGGGGTAACTTCGGCGCAGTCACGAAAACAGACAGTTTGTAATCTTTAGGCAGTCCCGCGAATACAACACACCCCCACGCGACGCCACCCGACCCGAAACGTAGGTCATATACATTCAGCATTACCGGCCCTTTTGCCTCAACTGCAATTACAAACTCAAACCCCGACTGCAATGTAGATATATATTCAGCCTCCTGATGAGTTGGCGAAACTCCAAACAGTTTGTCACAGCTCCTCGTTTGTTGTCCTCTTCTCTCCCTCCCTCTCTGCCGACGGTATACCCGGCAGCTCTGTGTGACAACATATATGTACATATATGTATCTAAGTATATATATCGTCACAAACAGAACTGCCCAGTAAACCGTAGGCAGAGAGAGAGAAGAGGACAACAAACAAGGGGCTGTGACAAACTGTTTCGTCGGAGTCTATATATATATTGTCACATTGTGAATCAGAGCGCAAAAAAGGGGAAAGAAAAAAGGAAAAGGAAAAAAGGGGAAGGGGAAGGACGTAAGGAAAGCTCCACCTGTTCATAACCTCTTACGTACAAGGCCAGCCA